GTCTATAGTCTAGTCTATAGTCTAGTCTATAGTCTAGTCTATAGTCTAGTCTATAGTCTAGTCTATAGTCTAGTCTATAGTCTAGTCTATAGTCTAGTCTATAGTCTAGTCTATAGTCTAGTCTATAGTCTAGTCTATAGTCTAGTCTATAGTCTAGTCTATAGTCTAGTCTATAGTCTAGTCTATAGTCTAGTCTATAGTCTAGTCTATAGTCTAGTCTATAGTCTAGTCTATAGTCTAGTCTATAGTCTAGACTATAGTCTAGTCTATAGTCTAGTCTATAGTCTAGTCTATAGTCTAGTCTATAGTCTAGTCTATAGTCTAGTCTATAGTCTAGTCTATAGTCTAGTCTATAGTCTAGTCTATAGTCTAGTCTATAGTCTAGTCTATAGTCTAGTCTATAGTCTAGTCTATAGTCTAGTCTATAGTCTAGACTATAGTCTAGTCTAGAGTCTAGTCCATAGTCTTGTCTATAGTCTAGTCTATAGTCTAGTCTATAGTCTAGTCTATAGTCTAGTCTATAGTCTAGTCTATAGTCTAGTCTATAGTCTAGTCTTAGTCTATAGTCTAGTCTATAGTCTAGTCTATAGTCTAGTCTATAGTCTAGTCTATAGTCTAGTCTATAGTCTAGTCTATAGTCTAGTCTATAGTCTAGTCTATAGTCTAGTCTATAGTCTAGTCTATAGTCTAGTCTATAGTCTAGTCTATAGTCTAGTCTATAGTCTAGTCTATAGTCTAGTCTATAGTCTTGTCTATAGTCTAGTCTATAGTCTAGTCTATAGTCTAGTCTATAGTCTAGTCTATAGTCTAGTATAGTCTAGTCTATAGTCTAGTCTATAGTCTAGTCTATAGTCTAGTCTATAGTCTAGTCTATAGTCTAGTCTATAGTCTAGTCTATAGTCTAGTCTATAGTCTAGTCTATAGTCTAGTCTATAGTCTAGTCTATAGTCTAGTCTATAGTCTAGTCTATAGTCTAGTCTATAGTCTAGTCTATAGTCTAGTCTATAGTCTAGTCTATAGTCTAGTCTATAGTCTAGTCTATAGTCTAGTCTATAGTCTAGTCTATAGTCTAGTCTATAGTCTAGTCTATAGTCTAGTCTATAGTCTAGTCTATAGTCTAGTCTATAGTCTAGTCTATAGTCTAGTCTATAGTCTAGTCTATAGTCTAGTCTATAGTCTAGTCTATAGTCTAGTCTATAGTCTAATCTAGTCTAGTCTATAGTCTAGTCTATAGTCTAGTCTATAGTCTAGTCTATAGTCTAGTCTATAGTCTAGTCTATAGTCTAGTATGTCTAGTCTATAGTCTAGTCTAGTCTAATCTATAGTCTAGTCTATAGTCTAGTCTATAGTCTAGTCTATAGTCTAGTCTATAGTCTAGTCTATAGTTTAGTCTATAGTCTAGTCTACAGTCTAGTCTATAGTTTAGTCTATAGTCTAGTCTATAGTGTAGTCTATAGTCTAGTCTATAGTCTAGTCTATAGTGTAGTATATAGTCTAGTCTATAGTCTACAGTCAGCGTTTATGTAAACATTAAACCATATACCGGGTCGGGCAATTACGTGTACAAATATTTATTGGGAAATTGAACAAAGATTAAAAATTATTTCGGATGATGATTTATTCTTTGAATTATCTTGCTCAGGGCTATATATCAACATATTGGATACTAAAATGATATATTTTTTACTGGAATGTAAAATTCTAATTCATGTTGGTTTGCGAATAACAATTGAAAGTTTGTCCAAATTCAAATGAAACAATTAGGTTGTAAAAAAATTAAAAACCCATGGCGACAAAATATCCGCTGGTATTCATAGATTTATAAGGGTGTCATTCAAAAAAAAAAAATATAAGTTGTTAAATGAAAATAACTACTGTGTTAAAAACAAACAAATGCAAATACTATATGCAAGTCCACAAAACTCGTAAATATGCTAACGCACAGTGGTATAGGAAAAAAAAAAGAGGGAAATAATTCGGTAACTTCTAAACGGTTAATCCGATTTTAATGAAATTTGGTATGCACAAAGAGGAGGTGTTGTCGAGTTTAGGTTTTGAATTTGGACCTTATAGGCCAACCAGGGGCCCGGCGGGGGGTCCTCAAATTAGGACACCTCGGCTATGTTAAATTTTTAAAACGATCCTATTTCTTCATTTGAGTTCCGATTTAAAAAAAATTTCGTATATAGAATCTCCTCATCGAGCACTATAAAAATGTCGTCGTAGCAGTAAATTATCTCTTATAGTTTAGGAGATATTCGCATTTGAATATTAAAATTTTAAAATTTTTACCGTCCTTACTTTAGTTTTTTTGATAATAGCAGGTCCAAATATTTCCGATTTTCGCCATTTTTTTTTATTTGCTTAACAACAAGTTTATATACCAAGCAGTGAAAGAATTATGTAAAAATCATGACTGAGTCCAAAGTTATAGGCATTTAAATTTAAAAAATTAAAAAAAGGCGATTTTTTGTCATTTTTTGGGAAAAAAGTATCTTTTTCTTTTTAAGTTATCTAAAAAGTTTCTAAGAAGATGTATATAGAATTTATACTTTTTGGAAAGCTGACTTTACATAAAATACGATAAATGAAACAAAACCTAAAAATTTTTGATACCGAGGGGACCAGGTCCATCCAAAAAAACCCTATTTTTTATGGAAAATTAAATTTTGAGCAAAAATTCTCAAATCGCATAGTCGATATCAAATTATAGTGACCTGTTTTATATGACCCAATATGTTCTTAATCATTTTGTAACGGGTTTCGATAACCCCGCCCCTGGTATGGATATAATAGGCAAAAAACTAAAAAATCCCATTTTTGGGATTTTTTAAAACTTTTTTGGGAATTCCGGGATTTCTAATAAGAAAATTCGAAATTTTGATTTAATTTTGGATTTTAAGTAAAAAAATCTACCTAACTGTAAAATTTCATCAAAAAATATTCATAAATAAAATTTTTATTGCAATTAGAAAAATTTGTATCTTCGCAAAAACTGAATAAAAAACATTTTTTAATTTTTTTTAAAAAAAGTATTCCGCGAATTTTTTAATTTTCAAAAATTATATACAGTTTTGAAAAATAGACAAAATTACCTTTCCATTGATATATAACATGCCTACCTAATGTTTTTTAAGTGACAAATTAATTAGGGAAAACTCAACATCTTTTAGAAAATTTGCCTAGCACTATTATTTTCATCCATAAGGTTAACTCTTAAATTTGTTACATATATGGATGAAAATAATAGTGCTAGGTAAATTTTCTAAAAGATGTTGAGTTTTCCCTAATTAATTTGTCACTTAAAAAACATTAGGTAGGCATGTTATATATCAATGGAAAGGTAATTTTGTCTATTTTTCAAAACTGTATATAATTTTTGAAAATTAAAAAATTCGCGGAATACTTTTTTAAAAAAAATTAAAAAATGTTTTTTATTCAGTTTTTGCGAAGATACAAATTTTTCTAATTGCAATAAAAATTTTATTTATGAATATTTTTTGATGAAATTTTACAGTTAGGTAGATTTTTTACTTAAAATCCAAAATTAAATCAAAATTTCGAATTTTCTTATTAGAAATCCCGGAATTCCCAAAAAAGTTTTAAAAAATCCCAAAAATGGGATTTTTTAGTTTTTTGCCTATTATATCCATACCAGGGGCGGGGTTATCGAAACCCGTTACAAAATGATTAAGAACATATTGGGTCATATAAAACAGGTCACTATAATTTGATATCGACTATGCGATTTGAGAATTTTTGCTCAAAATTTAATTTTCCATAAAAAATAGGGTTTTTTTGGATGGACCTGGTCCCCTCGGTATCAAAAATTTTTAGGTTTTGTTTCATTTATCGTATTTTATGTAAAGTCAGCTTTCCAAAAAGTATAAATTCTATATACATCTTCTTAGAAACTTTTTAGATAACTTAAAAAGAAAAAGATACTTTTTTCCCAAAAAAATGACAAAAAATCGCCTTTTTTTAATTTTTTAAATTTAAATGCCTATAACTTTGGACTCAGTCATGATTTTTACATAATTCTTTCACTGCTTGGTATATAAACTTGTTGTTAAGCAAATAAAAAAAAATGGCGAAAATCGGAAATATTTGGACCTGCTATTATCAAAAAAACTAAAGTAAGGACGGTAAAAATTTTAAAATTTTAATATTCAAATGCGAATATCTCCTAAACTATAAGAGATAATTTACTGCTACGACGACATTTTTTATAGTGCTCGATGAGGAGATTCTATATACGAAATTTTTTTTAAATCGGAACTCAAATGAAGAAATAGGATCGTTTTAAAAATTTAACATAGCCGAGGTGTCCTAATTTGATGACCCCCCGCCGGGCCCCTGGTTGGCCTATAAGGTCCAAATTCAAAACCTAAACTCGACAACACCTCCTCTTTGTGCATACCAAATTTCATTAAAATCGGATTAACCGTTTAGAAGTTACCGAATTATTTCCCTCTTTTTTTTTTCCTATACCACTGTGTAACGTCAGGATTTATCCCTTTAATAGAAAATATGAAAAAACAAAACAAATATTTATATTAGGGTTTACAAATTTATTCATTTTAAACATTCATACACATTTATGCATGTGAATGAATATTATTCACTTCTACATATGTATGTATGTTTGTATGATGAATATATTTTGTTTGTAATTTTTTGCTTAATAAAACTAACCAGCCAACCTTTACAATATGTATGTATTTAAGTGTTGGAATGGAAAATGACCAACACCAATCGTATTCCAGTATAAACAATGTAGCCATGATGTTATAGTTTTTCTAAATAAATGTTGGGTTTTTTTTGACAGTTGTGTGCTACATAATGTTGACAAGGGTGCACAGTTCTAAATCACTCTTTAAGGTGTTGAAAGTTAGTTTTGTATTAGAAAGTCTATTATTATAGGAGTTGCAGGTTCGATTCACACCAGTGACTCTTAAACAGAGAATGTATTACGAAGGAATTTAAAAATAATTTAAAAC